TTGAAATATTTATGAAGATTAACACTTAAGGCATACCTGTAAGTTGTTGGTTGAAATATTTATGAAGATTAACACTTAAGGCATACCTGTAAGTTGTTGGTTGATATCTTTGTGAAGATTAAGACTTAAGACATACCTGTAAGTTGTTGGTTGAAATCTTTATGAAGATTAACACTTAAGACATACCTGTAAGCTGTTGGTTGAAATCTTTATGAAAATTAACACTTAAGACATACCTGTAAGTTGTTGGTTGAAATCTTTATGAAGATTAACACGTAAGGCATACCTGTAAGTTGTTGGTTGAAATCTTTATGAAGATTAAGACTTAAGGCATACCTGTAAGTTGCTGGCTGATATCTTTGTGAAGATTAACACTTAAGGCATACCTGTAAGTTGTTGGTTGATATCGTTATGAAGATTAACACTTAAAACATACCTGTAAGTTAGTGGCTGATATCTTTATGAAGATTAACACGTAAGGCATACCTGTAAGTTGTTGGTTGATATCTTTATCAAGATTAAGACTTAAGACATACCTGTAAGTTGGTGGCTGATATCTTTATGAAGATTAACGCTTAAGACATACCTGAAGTTGTTGGTTGAAATATTTATGAAGATTAACACGTAAGACATACCTGAAGTTGTTGGTTGAAATATTTATGAAGATTAACACGTAAGGCATACCTGTAAGTTGGAGGCGGATAACCTTGAGCTGCACATGGTAAAATCACATCTTTATCAATTGTTGTGTCCGCTCGTGCTTGACTATGGTTAATTCTTGGTGCCCTTTTGCTATGATCATCTGTAAAAGAATCCTAAATTACTTACAAAGTTCATTATCAACTAATGGCTTATTCAACATGACTAAACAACACCAGATAGTGTGAAACACACAGGGAGTGTTGTATGGTAATCAACTCTGAGAAACTCAGTAATACAGCGTCTTATAAAACCAGACGAACCTTTATAAGAAATACCACAACACACTCTTAGAGCTTAGCACTCGATAAGTGGAAATGATCTTCAGGATAAAAACAATTTCTCTATTTACAAAAGGTTTTTAAAGAATTTAAATGGTGAAATCTACTTTACTTTTAACAAAAATATCCTAGTATTGATAAATACATATCTGTTCAATTGACACTTCTAGAAATGTAAGATCCGCCAGGCTAACTATCCAGATAATACTCACTGAAGTCTGCCAGGCTAGCTATCCAGATAATACTCAGTGAAATCCGCCAGGCTAGCTATCCAGATAATACTCAGTGAAATCTGACACTACTTCTAATGATATATTCAACTGACCTTACCTGACACTACTTCCAGTGATATAATCAACTGACCTTACCTGACACTACTTCTAGTGATATATATCTAATTAACCTTA